CCCTAAACCCTAAACCCACCAACCAACCAACCTAAACCCTATGCCCTGAAGATTGGCCCGGGTTTCAACAAGCCGAGGCCTCCTTTGGAGGTTGAGGGTTTAGGCTTCAGGGTTTACAGGTTTAGGGTATAAGGTAGGGTTTAGGGTTCAGGGTTTACGGGTTTAGGGTATAGGGTAGGATTTAGGGTTCAGGGTTTAGGGTTTAGGGTTTAGGGTTTAGTGTTTTGATTTAGGGTATAGGGTAGGGTCCATGTACCCAACTAGTATATACCTAGGCCCCAAAGGACCTACATAGGGACTACTTTAAGGCCTAAGTATATACTATACGAGTACATGGACGTTTCGGGCTTTGGGTTCATGATCCTGGGTTTATAAACAAAAGGGTTCTTTTTAAGGGGTCGAAAACCCTGTTCACTCAAACGGACAACTCCCATGGGACAGCTTTTTTAGAGTAAGCCGAGGGCGGCAAGGCGATTGCAGGGTTTTGAGGCTCCAAAACTGGATCTTTGGAGTTGCCCACTGCTAGAATTAACCCTACTTGTAGGGTCGTGGGACTTAGTAAGTGGGTACTAAGTAGACTAATAAGTAGCCTAAAAGGGATTCTAATTGGGGTTATGATACATATAAGTCCATAAAATAGCTACTTACTAAGTCCCCCGACCCTCCAAGTATCTAAGACGAAACACCCTCACGTGGGCAAAGGTCAGGACAGAATGGCAGCAGAGGAGCTACGAGCACTACTACTAACTCAGGGTACCGTTGAAAGAATTGCTGCAGCAACACGCAGTGCCAGGACGGTCAGCTCAGACGAGAGAGTAATAGGAACGACATAGACACAGCAGTCAGCCTTGTAATTTCCCATTAGCATCATCATCACATTCACAGTCATCCGTCATTGCCATTAATTGCAGAACCACCCACCGACCCGAAACCCTAAACTCGAGGCTTTATGGTGCCCTAAACCCTGCACTGAAAGGATCATGAGACTTAGTAACTGAGGCTATAAACAAGGTAACCATACTTATAACTTATAACCCCAATTAGGGTACTTATAACCCTACTTGCTAAGTCCCAAGATCCTCCAAGCACCCTTAAAGCCCGCAACCCTAAACCCGAGGCTTTATGGTACCCTGAACCCTGAAACCTTCAAGCCTACCCTCCCTAAGCCCCAAACCCTTAAAGCCCTACACCCCAAACCTGAGGCTTTATGATACCCAGAACCCAAAACCCCTAGCCCTTGAAGCCTTAAACCCTAAAACCATAAACCCCCAAACCCTAAACCGTTAAACCCCTAAACCCTAAACCCCTAGCCCTTGAAGCCCTAAACCCAAGACCCGAGGCTAAACCTTAAACCCTATAAACCCTAAACCCTAAACCCCTAAACCCTAAGCCCTTGAAGCCCTAAACCTCCTAGGTAGTATTAGGGAGACCCTTAAAGGGCACCCCTTCTGAACCCTACTTTCGGCTCTCTTGAAGGGGACCTTATTGAGCGGGTTTATATCCCCAAGGGTCCCCCTAATCCCAGCTCCCAAAACCCAAGACCCGAGGCTAACCCTAAACCCTAAACCCCTAACCCCTAAACCCTAAACCCTAAACCCTAAACCCTAAACCCTTAAAGCCTAGACGACCCCAAACCCCTAAACCCTAAACCCCTAAACCCCTAAACTCCTAAACCCCTAAACCCAAGACCCCAAACCCTAAACCCTAAACCCTGAACCCTAAACCCTAAACCCTAAAGCCCAAGATCCTGAACCCAGACGACCCCAAACCCTTAAACCCCAAGACCCCAGGCTTTCTGGTGGTCTTTCCGTTGGCCTTGCTCGCCGTGGGACTGAAATTGTTGCTTGGCCCTCCTCTGGTTGGCTCTTTGGACTTAGGGTTTAGGGTTTAGGGTTTAACTTTTGGGGTTTCTTTATGAACTATAGTAAGTAAGCTAAAAGTTTAACTTTCAGGAGGGGGTCAGAAGTCAGCCAAGGCTGCACCAGCACGAGGTCTTCGGGAAGGGCAAGGAGGAGCCTCACTTTGGGTCTTGGGTTTACAGGGTGTAGGGCTTATAGGGTTTAGGGTTTAGAGTTTAGGATTGTGGGGTTTATAGGGTTTAGGGTTTAGCATTTAGGGTTCAGGGTTTAGGGTTTAGGGTTTAGGGTTTAGGGTTCAGGGTTTAGGGTTTAGGGCTTGAGGTTTAGAGTTGAAGCATTGGTGTCCCAAGGTACAGTGCCTCCTTTGAGGGGAGCGCGTGGTCTGGTGTCACCCTCAGGGTCCAAAGGACCCAATAATTATGTACTTGGGTTTCGGATAGTAGTTATGTAGGTTACTATTTGGTAGAGCATATGATTATCAAGGACTTGGACCCTTAGGGTTCTTATTCAGATTCATGATTTGAGCATTTTCGGCCCTGCATACAGGATCACGAAGGTCCATGTATCCATATGAGTAGACTTCGACCCTACACTACCCAATATAGGGACTACATGAAGGCCTAAGTATATACTGTTTGGGTACATGGACCCTTAGAGGGTTTATGGCTCTTATTTGCACGAGCATAGCCGCCATCAGGGATGAGGGCTGCCTTTAACCTTGTTCCTGTGCCCTTACCCGTTATCCCTAAACCCTAAACCCTAAACCCTAAACCCTAAACGAAGCTTATCTCCTCCCAAACCCCAAACCCTGAAACAGAAGACCTTAGGACCTCACGACCCTGATCCTCTTTAGAAGGTAGTATTTTGGGGACCTAAAATGAATTAGGATAGCCCCGTAGGGTCCTCGCAGAAGGTACTATTTTCGGGACCTCACCCTTTGCAGGACTTCGTCGCAGGCTTCTATTTCCTTCTGGACGGAAATCCTTGGAGTGGCACCTGGGAACTGCCAAGATTAAGGCTCTTTGTTTAGAATGTTTCCAATATCATCCTGAATATAATAAGGCAGAAGGCTTTTCATGTGGTTTATGAAAAGGTACCTATGGTGGGTAGCTTCGCACGGTTTCCTTACAGTCCCATATATACATATATGCATCATACATACACACATACATAAACAGCAAAACCCTCAAATTAAAAAGATCCCTGCCTAAACCCTAAACCCTAAACCTGCATGGTCCTGTGCTGGCGAGGTTCAGGTCCCTGCAAGTTCGGTTCGGGTTCAGGGTTTCGGGTTTAGGGTTTACTTAAAGGCTCATGGGACTTAGTAACTGAGGTTATAAACAAGGCAACTATACTTATAACCCCAATTGGGGTACTTATAGCCCTACTTACTATTACAGCCTAGATGTCTGGTCAACATGCTCCACCGTGACCCCTTTATGAGCACCTGAAGGCAGACAGTATTGCAGCCCATAAACCCCGCTCTACTCAGTAAGTCTTTTATGTTAGTTAACGGTGCAGCATGTTTGTCACGTGGCTGGCTTTGACAGGAGTTCATTTGATCCCTATAAACACGCTTATGAAGCCCAGAGAAATGGGATGTTTTCACTTGTCACCTTCTCAAATCAGGTCATCGCACAACTCCTTAGCCCTTGCCTTTGAACCCAAACCTCGTAAACCCTAAAGCCTAAACTCCAGGATTCTGGATCCTCCATGACCCCAACAGTATACCCTTCTATAGAGGTGTTGTGGTCCTCCAAATCGGGTAGATGGTAGTTTGGGGTGTTTGGCTGATATGGGGTCTGCCTTCAGTTTCGCTCGCAGATGTGGTACTAGGTGTTAACATGTTAGAAGCTAGGGTGGAACCTCATATCAACATATGGGTTTAAGATCTAAGCTTTAGGGTTTACAGTTTAGGGCTAGAGGTGTAAATTCAGGGTGTAGGGTTTAGGAGGTATCCCTAAACCCTAAACCCTAAACCCTAAACCCTAAACCCTAAACCTGGGTTTAGGAGGTATGCCATAAACGCTCAAATTCCCATTTCATCTAAGGTTGACACCATGGGCCCCTAGTATGGGCCCTTAACCCTAGGATCCTTATACACCGACTATATACCCTATATGTACCCTTTAAGGGTCCCTAGAAAGGCCTAAGGGTCCATATTAGGGGCCCATACTTCTAACCTTAGCATTCCAGCAAGGCTTCAGCGGATTCGTCACCTTCGTCATCGTTTTCCGATTATCCGCTGCTTACTCGACCTACTGGCACCTCGCCCGTCTCTACTTGGTGCGTTTTTAGGGGGGGGTCTTGGCTTTAGGGTTTAGGGCTTAGGGTTTTGGGTTCTGGACTTTTGGCTTAGGGTTCAGGGTTTAGGGGTACCTGTTGGATATCCGGGCAATCTACATCTTCGTTTGTGTAGGTTGTACCCAGAAATTCCACAATCCCTTAATTAAGGAATATACTCTAAATTCTAATAGGATCCCCAATTAATATGATTTAAGGTCATGTTGGAATGGTCTGGGTAGGGGTTGTAGGGGGGCCTAGGTTTTGTATGTGTTGATTGATCAGGCTTTGAAGCCACTCGTAGCGCGTCGTATTTAGCGAGTTTTAGGGTTTAGGGTTTAGGGTTTAGTTGTCTTGTTTCCGTGTTTTTGTCGAGCCTTTCAGAGGGTGGCTACAAGGGATCATGGTTGCAGGTATGGCTTATATGGTTCAGGCTTTCAATCCCAAACCCTAAAACCCTAAACCCCGAAAGCCTAAACCATGAACCCAACCTAAACCCTAGGAATGCAACGCTACACCCTAAACCCAAAGCGCGAAACCCTACACCCTAAACCCTAAACTCTAAGAATGAAACCCTAAACGCCCTAAGCCCTAAGAAATCCTAAACCTCCAAAGAATGAAACCCTAAGACTAAACCCTAAACCCAACGAGTGAAACCCTAAGCCCTAAACCCAAGATTAAACCCCAAGCCCTAAACTTGGTGTTCTTCTGGTTGGCTCTTAGGACTTTAACTTTTTGGGTTTCTATATAACTATAATAAGGAGACTAAAAGTTTAACTTTTTGGAGGGGTTCAGAAGTCAGCCAAGTAAACCCAAAGAGTGAAGCCCCAAAAACTCAACTCTAAACCCAAAGAACGAAACCCTAAACCCACAGAACGAAACACTACAAACTAAACCCTATACCCGAAGAATGAACCCCAAGCCCTAAAACCCTGACCCTAAACCCAAAGAATGAAGCCCTAAACCCTAAACCTTAAAACCCAAACCCAAAGAATGAAGCCCTACACTCTGGACTTTCCACCAAGAGCCTCTATACCCCAGCTCCAGAAACTCTGGTCGCGAGGCTTGCAATTGACAGCCGAAAACCTAAACGGGGGTTTAGGGTTTAGTGTTTATGGTTTAGGGTTTATGGTAGTATAGGTGCCTAAATGATCACCTATGTTATTTTAGGGGTTCCTTGTTATAATTATAGTATATGGGCCCCAAACCACATTCTAATTATTTCGGCCCCGTCATAAGGAACCCTAGCAACAGTTTTGGAAATTAATTAGGCCCCTATATCAGGCCCTGCATCCCCGAACCCTTCCGCAAGATGCAATCTCGAAGCCTAACCTCTTAGCGTTAAGGGTGCACTGCAATGGGCTTAGGTTTGGGGTTTAGGTTTAGGGTTCAGGCTTTAGGAGTTTAGGCAGTTAGAGGTTGAGGAGTTCAGGGTTTGGGAGTTTAGGCATTCAGGGGTTTAGGGTTCACTATATGGGGGTTTCTGAAAATAGGGGACCCTAATATAGTACCCTAAATAATAGGATCCTTATTCTAACGACCCCAAGCTAAGGTACCCCTTGTTTTCGGAAAGTCCTATATCAGATCATGGAGCCTGTATCAGGCTCTCATCAAGCCTCTAATTTTTCTAGCGTTCACAAAGCCTTCTAACCCCTAAACCCTAAACCCTAAACCCAAAACCCAAAGCCTTAAACCCTAAACCCTAAACCCTAAACCCTGAACCCTAAACCCTAAGCCTTAAACCCTTAACCCTAAA